GCATCGCCGACACCTCTGGTCAATGGCAACTAGACCACATACCCGTCATTCATTCATTTATGCTCTCGTCTCTTTATCTGTACACTGCTCACGACTCTCACTCACTTGTTCTATAGATCTGCATTCCGGGGTTCAACCCCCCGTTGTTTTTTTACGTCGGATATAAGCTGACGACATACCACCACGCACCTGCCACCGCACGCATCTATACATCCCATACAACTCATGCTACATTATAGTTTTCCTGCATCAACTGCATCATATCTACACCCTGGTAGTGCTCTGTAATACATCCCTGCGCCCACGACAACTGGTATAAGATAGCTTCTATGGAATATGCAAGCGTTGTACAAAGGGTATCTATCTATCTACTTATAACAGATCGGAGAAGAAAAAGTCTGTGTTGGTGGGAGGTGGTCCTGCGACCAGACCGCTGGGGATCTCCACCTTCTCTCCTGAGAGATCTTTATGCAGAAAAGGGCATTCAGTGGCATGCTAACGCTCTGTCAGGGACTCAGACCTACCCAAAAGTTTAATCTTCAGCCCAATTTCCGTCAGGGCCTGAACAAAGCCCGCAGTTTCCTTAGATGCGACATGCCCCCCGTCCCTACGAAGCATGTTCAACCCATCCGTCCAATCCGCCCAACGGGACTGGTCGGGAGCGATCTGGTCGGCGAGGGATCCTTCATGCGCGCTGAGGAGAGAGAAGGAGAGGGGGGAGGCGACGAGAGGTGATGTCGGCGGTAGATCGTTCTGGTCACGCAGCACATTCGGTGGAGGCGCGCATGTACCCGTCGCAATCTCGCTGATCATGGAGACATCAATACGCTCCGGGAGATCTTCCAATCCGCCTCGAACGGGGAATTTCACAGCAGAATCAACGTAGTGCAGATACTTCAAGCCAGGGTCCTAAGAGAAAAATATCAACACCTTACAACCACGAGATGAACAGTGTCCCTTACCAGCCGCATGAACCTCCACGGACGATTCGGTCGACGGGGTGGATCGCGAGGAGACGACGACAGTAAGGCGTTGACGAACCATGCACCTTGTAGAAGACATTGTATTCTCTGTTGCCGGACAAACTCATATGATTCCTTGTATAGTTTAGCACGCAAATTTCTAGATTTTTGTAGTTCAGGTCCAGATTCTCGACATGATGAGTGGATGATCATACTCACCGCACAGGCACTTTGCTTAGCAGATCATCTTCAAGCTCCAATTCTTTCATTTGGCGATCTCTGACGGCGCGATACTCTCGTTCGTTGAAATCGTGTTCGACCTCGTGCCATGGGCGAACATTCTCGCTCCGGAGAGCGACCTTGACTCTAAATGTCCACGAGTGAGCCCAATGCTATGGCTGACGGTTGCAATACGTACTGGCTGCGCACCAGGGCAACAACACGAGTGAAATCACCGGCAGCTGCACCACTCTCTGTCCACATTCTCAGGAAGAAATGAGTTGCCAGCGAGTGCACCTTGTAGAAGTCAAGGAAAAACGGTTGAAAGGTCGTAGAAGTAGAATCTAGATGAAAATCGAGGATTTAAAAACATTTCAACAGTGATGGTTGGGATTTACCCACATCCTGGGGCAAAGATAGCCCAATGCTCGGACAGGAGCTCTACTACCTCGTTGGAAGCTTTTGCAATGGAGCATCTACGCTCGGGAGCGCGGCTGAGCTGTTCCAGCACAAGCTACCAAAATAATCAGCATACAAATGTGAAGAGCCGTCGTTGATCAATCCAAAAATACCTTCGAAAAATCTTGGTCGTTCTCAACAAGCTTTTTCTGCATGCCATTGAATCAGACACCACATTTTGCCGTAAACCAGGTAATCCACATACCAAGCAGTCAAGCCCAAGCACTCCGACTTCGCTGAACTCCTGAACCATATCCTCGGAATCAAACCCGAGCTTCCGCCATTTCGACACCTGTCCATTTTCATCCAGACTCTCCTCCAATTGTGAGCTCTCCCAAATATACTGCAGAGCGGCTTTGTGAGAAGGTTCGGAATCTGGATCAACCAGCGTGGTTTTCCTTCGATATGTGACGCGGACGATATTCGCTTGAAAGTCGAGAATACACGATGTCAGATCCTCCATGATGTGCAGAGACATCAAACGCTAGTGACGTCGTTAAAATTGGTATCCAGCGGGAACCGAGGGGATTTTTATGGCTTACGACGACCGCCTTCCGAACATTCAGTCTCTCAAGTTCTCCGATGAATTCCTCCCAGCGGGTATCACTAGCATGCGACAGGAGTGAATTGATGAGCATCATGCTATGGAATGGCAAAATGAGCGACGCAAGTACATGAAGATCAAGAGAGAGGGACATGCCTATATTGCGCCATCGCAGTATCTGCGCTCCCCAACCGATTCACTACAGTTTCCAAGAGCTTCTCCTCCTTTCTCATCTGCTCGAATACAACGTGGAATCCATAGCGATACACCGAGCCTGGAGGCGCTGTCGGAGGGCTTCTGCTTGAGCTGGCAAGCTGTGGCCCCGGTGCGCTCATCGGATCGGCCTCAACAAGCTTCTTCAAAATCGCAGTCGCTGGGCGGCAGACATTGATAAGGGATGTAGGAGAAGATAGGATTTGAACAACTTTGAGGATGAAGTTGTCATCGAGACTTGACCAGCCATAGTCGAGTTCCATCAGGTTTTGCATCACTGTCAAGGCGTACTGAGTAAAATGAGATGAGCCAACCTAGAAGCCGCCCAAGATTTGACACGTACTGCCAGTGTATTCCCGTTCGAATCGTAGATCACGGCCACTAATTCCTGCAACCCATTATGATTGATGAATTCTTGAGCGAATTGTTCCTCCTATAAACGTTCAACCTCGAAGCGCGATAGGAAGAACAATACTCATACACGAATGTACTTCTGCAGTGAGAACAGCGTCAACTTGTTCCTCTGGTGGAGTTTGTTTGCAGTTTCCCTGGCCTCGCGAGTCGGTGAATTGACGAGTCTGTACGTATTCGTCAGCTACTCAAGGAGACATGAAGGATTGAGCTCACTTCAGGTTTAACTTGCCCTTAATCTTCTTCCTCAAGTTATCGTTTGTAACCAGCTCATCTGTCTCATCTCTCAGAGCAAAGTTAGACGGCAGCTCCTTGATCTTGAGGTTGATACACAATTGCTTCACTACGTCGTCGACGGTCAGTGTAGGATCGATCCTTGCCCGAACAGTCAGGCCGTCGATAGTCGTAACGTTGTTCGTCGGAACCAAAGCACCAGGTCTAGCTTGAGTTCCATTGGCGTTGGAGGGGTTGGAGGACATGGTTTATGGGCTATGGTACAATGTCCAATGAGAGTGAGAATTGCAACGTATAAGATTTCATGACCGGACATGATTACGATACTACAGGAGGTGCTACAATGGCGGAATACTCACAAGATATGGAAAGAATACGCGACGTAACACAGAGCCAGCACACCACCACAGGACGCCTAAAAACGAGAAAAGTCAGCACATGCTCAAATGTCTCGCATAGAAGGAATCAGTGAAGCATAATATAACATCCTATACGCAGACCCATACGAGCCAGCGTTCCGACTGACGTGCAAATTGTCTCGAATTCATCACAGAAGGAAAACGAGGAGTTGGGACTCACCGGCTTAGACTAAGGGAAAGGGGTATGGGTTGAAGTTGTTGTTGTCAATGCCCTATCAAGTAATGTCAGCTTCCTGAAAATATTCAAAAATGCGTAAGGGAGAGTGAAAGTATCAGAAAAGCGTCTTGACATCAAAGAATCGGAAGATTCGCTCAGACTGACGTGCAAATATGTCGAGAAATCGTCACGCAGAACGTGTCAGGGACTCTGAAATCTTACCAGATACCGATATGTCCTTCAAAAGAGGGGATCCCTGGATAGGGCTCTGGATAGTGGGCGGGATGAGGAGGGTAGATACTGGCGCACAACGATGGTGACAGACAACAACCAAAGCAAAGTGTTTTTTGCAAGTAAAATGCAGTTACGTAATGCCATCAAAGCCTAACCAGCGGCCAGCCACTAGGCTGCACTAATGCAATGCTCCTTCATTCTTGAAGAGCACACCCCCCGGCGCCCAGTTGTCTATTCGAGCTTTCCACGCATAAACTGCAGATACTCAAATCTTTTCGCGTTCTAGTCCTAGCTGATGAGCGCTATGACCTACTACATGTTCGCACTGTGACTCCGCCGACTCCCGCAAAGCATCGACGGTGTGTCGCACACGATGTTGTCCTGCTGTTCGTCGATGTCGATGGCTCCCGGGATTCTGAGAAGAAGGGCTCGAATTTTAGAGGACGATCTCCGCTTCCGAGAGTGTAGCGTGTACACGTATGTTTCCTGACATAACTTTGACGTGTGCGGTGAGGCTCTTGAATGAGCTTGACAACAATAAACCATTGCCCAGGCGCGTTTGACTCGGAAAAATATACGTCACCGGGACCGGAGTTCTCGAGGCAGGGCCGGGATCGATGTTGCTCTTTTTGATGACGGGGGAAAGGCCTCCGGGCCTCCAGACCGAGTGTTGGATGGCCTGCGGACTCGGACTCGAATAACCCGGGGAAGCTTTGGACTTGGACGCCATGCGCGCGAAAGACTCCTCCCATCAATAACAAGCGCCATAGCCAAAAGGACACTGATTTGGAAATAAGCAATGGGTAAAAAAATATCTACGGTAAAAATAGAAGTCAGGGCCTAACTGGGAATTGAACCCAGGACCTCCTCGAAACGGCTTGACCCTAACAAGGAATCATACTACTAGACCATCAGGCCACATATCAGGGCTTTTATGTAAATGCACATTCGGCAAGATGCGGCGCAACGAGTGGCGCAAACACATCCCGAGCCATCCCCGGATGTTCAACGATATGCTGGCGGCTCTCACTGTCTACCAGCATACTGGCCTGTGCAGTAAGCATGGGCCATCATTGCTGCGTCAAGTCCGGTTAAGGTTGGGGTATATGTGGTGCAATCTGAGAAAAACTGGTCCACACATTCGCAGTGGGCCTGACTGGAAATTGAACCCAGGACCTCCTCGAGATGCGCTAAATGCGCCCTAACAAGAAATCATACTACTAGACCATCAGGCCATAACACGTGTACTATTGTCAGGTTTGACGATGTGCCTGACTTTCTTAAGATAATTAGTTTCAGTTAACCCTTTTAACTTTAATTAGAAATAAATGTAATATAATAAATGTATGTTATAATAATCTTCGAAAAAAAATTAAAAAAGAGTTTATTTGATGTTAAATTAAATTAACATGAGGCAAGTTAAAAAGATCGTCGGGCCTAACTGGGAATTGAACCCAGGACCTCCTCGAAACAGCACTCTGTGTACCCTAACAAGGAATCATACTACTAGACCATCAGGCCACATTGTCTGTACATCCTCGTTGAATCTCCAGTTGTCGGTGAATCTGGGCAGCCGCCACAAGCAAAATAGGGCCTAACTGGGAATTGAACCCAGGACCTCCTCGAGATGGCTGAACCCTAACAAGGAATCATACTACTAGACCATCAGGCCGTAGCATTTGTGAAAATTGCACATTCCGGACGATGATGGTACTGGATAACTACGCGTGAATCATTTGAATCTGGTCAAGATATTGCGAAGTGGAACTGGCATGCGACTCTTCGGTGTTCCGTCTGGCGTCCCTGCGGCACTTCCTCGTCTGAAAGTCATGTCATTCATAGTCCAGCGCGAACCTGCCTTGTTTCGAGTCGGAGATGCGCCGTCTTTGGCCTGATCGGCACCGCCCTGAGATGACGGAGCACTATCCTTGATCTCGTTTTTCGAAGTAGCAGCTCCCTTAAGTGCGCGACCGAATGACTGACGCCCTAGAGACATTGTCGTCACTTTCATAACAGGCGCAGCACTGTGTCGCACAGCCGGGCGAGGTGGCGATAGGTTGCGACTTGAGGAAGCTAGCTTCTTCGACTGGAGTGGGTCAACTGGGATGGACGGGGATCCTGATGCCAGGCGCGGAGTCCCTGCCTTGTCACCTTTTGTGCCCGCCGGAATGTATGAAGACACAGGCCGATATGATCGCGGCGCAACGATGATCGGCGTATTCTCTGAGCTCGTCTTGGAAGTCTGAGTATGGGAGTAGGCTATGCGAGACGGAGCGACGACGGCGGATACGTCCTTTGCCGGAGCGCAGGGAGAAGGCGGAGTGACGACAGTGACGACCTCAGATTTTTCAGGCAACGTCGCGAATCGGACATTCTTGCAGCTCTTCAGAATTCCACGAACGCCACCGGGAGATGGAGACGTACTCAACGAGGCTTGTTGTACGGGTGTTGCGGGGATCGGTGAGGAAGGCATTGGACTGGGCGGAGGAAGTATGGTGTTCTGAACGGATGGACTCAGGAAATCGCCTCCCTTCTTCGCACATGATGATTCTCCCACGGAAGGGTGAGGCCTGCATTCGAGATTACTACGGCTCGCTTTCTGGCTGCCATCGAACTCGAGCAGATCGCCACCGAATTCGTTGAGAAAAGACACGGCGAAGGCCCAGTCGTCGTCGTCGTCGGTGATTTCTTGGTCTGATGGCGGTGCGAAGCTGATTGCCAAAATAGAAGAATCCACAACAGGTTCCAAGTCCGCACTATTCTGTATCTGCGAATAAGGAGAAAGCTGCGACCTGAGACTTGAAATCATTTCCCCGATGTCGAGAGGCGGACCACGCTGAGAGTTGGTAAATTCAAACTTGGGAGAATAGGCTGAAGGCGAACCCAGGAAAGCGGTGGGGATGCTCGAGTAGGGATCGACTGCGGGTGCTGCCTTTTCCTTCAACGACAGCGGGCGCAGATTTTTGCCTCGACGAGCAGCCAAAGGCATCGGCGGTCTGCGTGGAGCTGGTGTCGGAGATTCCGGAGAAAGAGAAATCGAATGGTGAGAGTCGGAAACCATGAGAGACGGCGGATCGAGTTTGTCCTTCTCCATTCCCAGCGCTGCGACAGACTCATCGAGGTCCTCGAGACTGTCTTTGAAGAACGAATTGAGGTCCTGCAGCTCGAGCATCATGTCGACCATTTCCGGATTCATCGTCGAGGCAGGAACTTGGAGTGACCAGCGTTTCGATTTACCCTCCATATTGAGTGTGATTTCACGTTCGAAGACGAGTGCCTTGCGATGGCGCGCCTGATGACCTACTGATGGCCGCCGAGAAGGTTTTTGCTCTATCGAACCGAATGTGAGTGGAGAGACGATGGGGTAAGGCATGGGGCTAGGCGTCTTCGCATACTTCATTGCATCCCTAAGCTTGCGGGGAGTGAACATCGAGTCTGAAAGGATCGATGGGCGCACCGGGATCGAGGTGGCTGATTCCCATGCGGAATTTCCTGGAGGTGCTGCACTCATATCGAACTCCTTCTACCGAAACAGGTCAGCGATGATATCACGCTGTACGAAGGTACTTACCAGCCACAAATCGATGCATATCGGCCTCAAGTTCATCTTATCAGCCCGTGGGACGGTCAATATACTCGTCAGGATGTCGAAGTCGTCGGTTTTGGTATTCGAGGCTCCACGGGGAAATAACATGCAGCGGCCATCGAATAGAATAGGCGCCATCGGTACCTCTGGTCTATCATTCGGGAAGGGGGGTTTAAACGAGTCGTCCCATGACTCAATGGACCAGAGAGACCCCATGCTGATAGAAGCCGTCAGGAACTGACTCTCGTCTGGGTCCAGCACGCCAACGAAGTCGAAAGAATCTGCTGAATCATTCGAGGCCATCAAAGAGCGGACGCAGGGTTGGGATTCGTGCAAGTCTGACATCATGGTTTGAGGATGACCAGAAATACTGATGACAACCCATATATAAGAGCAGAGGCTGACCTGCAGCCAAATTGCGTCAGCCTCTCATTCAAAGTCGATCCGCATCCTTTCTCTCCGGGCTATCAAACGAAAAAATGCCATGGATAGGATTGCTGAAGCCAGTGCAAGCCGAATGGTCCCCAAGCGTCGACGTAGTAGACGCGCAAGAGACAGAGCTGTCACATATCGGTATCGTCAGGTATAACTTGCACTGTTGGAGACCTAGGACAATGGAAAAAGTGCCTGCAGAATAGCTCAGTCGATTTAGTACGGACGGAACTTCATTAAAACACTCACCTATTTGGATGTGTCGATCGATAGCAAGGGCACCCAACGAGACGGACGGGGCGTCCGTGTATTACGATAGCAAATATGAAAATAGCGCAATCGTGCAGATGTCGTAGAGTCGACGGCTGGAGTTTAAACGTTCGTTGTTGTCCGCGAGTTCCAAGGAAATTCTGGAGTAAGCCAGGATGGCATCTGCGCGCGACGGTGCTTGTCACCAACGCCACTGAAATGCAGATCTTTCACAGGAAACATACCGAAACGAGTTGGAAACGAGCATATGGATGTCAAGTGGAGATTGCAAAGAGTCAGAAAAGACGCAGAACAAGTACAAGGCTGCATGCAATATGCATGTGGCACTGGGATTTGCCGCTTTGCGCATGTGGTTAGGCGCGGTCACGCGATGGGTTGTCCACTAAAAGTGCCATCATATTCCCTTGATCTTCCCCTCATCATCCTCAGCATCGAACAAGCCATGTAACGACTACACTTTGCTTCCGATGACAGATTCTCTGCGACGAGGGGGACCATGTGGCGACGCGTATTGTACAAACCTTTCGGGCGCCGTTCTCCTTCAATTTACTATTCCGCGCTGACCTGCTAAAGCTCTTATCAGAACCTGCAGTGACCACACCAGATACTTACTATACCTTGACTATACCCATTACCCACGGGCATTGTCATCAGCCCTCATCAGCCTAGGCCTTGTGGAAAGTATCGGATGGCAAATACCGCCATACTATGCGCTACCTTAATGCTCCTTATCTCAGTCCGACTGGCGATTCAGTCTTCCACCTGTTGGCAACCAACATCAAGGTTCTGTCGTTCTCTTGGCTTTTGGATAGCGCTCCTGAGTTCTCATACTTAGCCCAGACTTGGCCCAAATGGCAAACCGCTATTTCTCCATAAAACGTGATTACGCTTCTACAGTGTATCTTCTTGAGTCCACATGGGTACTGCTCCGCGATTGTGCGGATCGAAGCACATGAATGGCTAGATAAAACGAATCATCAGGCCTTGAGCCCCTTGAGCTTGATCGCCCTTCTTTGAACCTCAACCAGCTCGCTTCATCATGAGACTCACCCTCAGCTTGGTCCTTGCAGCACTTTCATTAGTCGCACATGCTGTACCCATTATTACCCCCAGCGAGATCGCTCTCAAATCCAGCCGGGGCCTGCGACTGCTGAGTCTTGCTGACGGCGTCGAGCCGGTATGGAAGACGGAGGATGAGAAGCTTCAGCTCATGCGCGCTGGTATCAACTTTGTGAGTTGCTAGGTTTTAGTTACGATGGTTCAGGAGACTGAATGTGATCAAAGTTTGACGCGACCGAGGTATACGCGCTGGAGCAGAAGTTCCCTCCGAAGAATGACTTCGCCGCTGCTGCGACCTGTGAGTATAGTTTCTTCTGTAACTTGGTAATCTCTGATTATCGAATCTTTTTCATAGTCCCAGCACCCTCTCGCCAGGCTCAAGTCACACCTATTCTTGCAACCGTGTCGACCGCCAATATGCAATCGGATCTCAACGCCCTTACGGCTTTCAACAACCGATACTACAAGGCGACAACTGGCGCGCAAGCCAGCCAATGGATCCTTGACAAAGTGAAGGGCGTAGGTATCTCATCCTTTCGACTTCGGGACATGTAATTTTACCTTTAACAACCAGATTGCCAGTGGCCGGACCGACATCACGGCCTCGCTTTACTCCCACAGCTGGGCACAACCTTCCGTTGTCCTGAAAATCGCCGGAAAATCCTCTGGACCCGTGACGATCGTCGGGGCCCACTTGGACTCTATCAATCTCAGCAACCCAACCAACGGACGTGCTCCCGGTGCCGACGACGATGGCACTGGAACAGTCAACCTTATTGAGGGATTCAGAGCTCTCGTCGCGGCTGGCTTCAAGCCCTCTACACCCGTCGAGTTCCACTGGTACTCCGGTGAGGAAGCAGGTCTTCTTGGCTCTCAAGCCATCGCCACGGCATACAGGAGTGCTGGTGTCCAGGTCAAGGCCTTCATGGAACTTGACATGTCTGGCTAGTAAGTCTTTCTCTCTCTACAAATTTCCACACCTCATTCTGGCCAGCTTCAAACCGGGAACCAAAGAAGTCTTCGCCCTCCAGGCTGACTATATCGAGGAGGGCCTGCAAACCTTCCTTAAATCATTGATCACCACCTATTCGAGAATTCCATGGGCCTTGGACAAGCCTGTACGCCTTCAGCGATCTTGATGTTTTCGGAATTGGTTGCTCACTAGCGCTTTCAATTGTCCAGTGCGGTTATGCTTGTTCCGACCACGCCAGTTGGTACAAGATTGGAGTACCCTCCGTCTTCCCGTACGAGGCGGTCACAGGAAATGACAACCCCAATATTCACTCTGCCTCTGACACGACGAGCGTTAATGGCTTCTCTTGGGC